ACCCATAGAAAGCACTCGGTCCTTGCACGGATCCAGAGGGAGCTATACCCTTGCATCGGTGCTCTAACGAGGACTAGTGGGGAGTGCCGACTCTCCAATACCTTGGAAAACATTATCGTGTTCCTAACCCTCTCTTTACTTTGAGCATTTTCATTTGAGCAATTTCATTCATGTCTTTACATTACTAGAATTGCCATGCTAGTGTAGGGTTAGAATCTAGGGTGCAAAACTTTTGTGCGTAGCATAAAAACACAATCTTGGCACAAGGGGTGAAATGGGCTAAGCTCTAAGTTTCAATTGCTGTAAGGAAATTTAGAATAAGCCTAATTCAACCCCAATCAACTTTGTAGCTGATTTCTTTCAAAAAGTAAACTTTGTAGCTTGTAATTTTTTATCTGAGATTGTTTAGGGGTCTAAATATGCATTTAAGTTCTCACGTTTTAAATTGTTTTTCTTGAATTTTTCAAACAACCTTGGATTGAGACATGCTTCATTTCAAATTGTAGTTTTTCGATGAGATCTAAAATTTTATTGTTAAAATTTTGAAATTTTAAGACCATTTAGGTCTTCAATATCCAATAAATTAGTAATCTAAAAATAGCCTTCTGTACTTGGTCGCAGGTGATTGTGTAGTAGTATTATGATAAGGATGGCTCATATCATGTGATCGAGGCTTGAGGTCATAATTTTGAATTCCCAAGATTCTTGCTGCTCGAAGATAATTTAAACGCACCCTCCGCGTGTATAGCTTCCAAACAGTGGCCACAGGCCACGTGCAAAGATACCATGCATGATGCAACATGCAGCACCAGTCACCCTCCGAAGGGGAATCAAACAACCAACATAAGTCGTCCGTGACGGTGACGGTGACGCCATAAGCGACGGCGACGGTGACTGCATAAGCGATGGACAGGGCTCAAAATATAAACTCTAGCCACATATTTTTTTATTATTTATGTATATATTTTTGTACTTAATAAATGCGTAGTAAAAAATCATGCTAATATTTTATTTGGATCTATAAAAAATTCATATTAGAATGTTTAGGCCTCTGGAAAATAATTATTAAAATTCTAACCGAATTCACTGATCTTAAAAGTAGACTAAAAAAAGTTTAATAACGAAATTAAAAACCCTGGCTGTGGCAAATGATCCAGTTTTGGAGACCTTGTGACGTGTAATAATAACCAATCTTTTTATTGTTCACACAATACGAAGGCTGAACGTACTGTCCGCGTCCGATACAAAGTCCTCATAGCTCATGCGTTCGTGTCTGATTACTCATGTTCAATTGAAAAAATTATGATCCAATGTGACGTACGAGCATATATTTAGTCTAGTTAAAAGTGGCTACTTTTTTTTCAGGAATGCTATACAACACATGTGTGTTTTTTGGTTTGTTGGCACATGAATTTTCTGTCCGTCGGATCCGTCTCGCGCGTGTCTCCTGGGTCGTTCGATGTGGCGTTTCTGTTTTGTTTCTCTGACCTGCAGACCTCCATGCAGACCTCAAGGCCACGCATCAACTCACTTCTCCAGTGGGTGAGACCGGCTGCAACCTTTCCCCTTCCTCTATCCTCTTCTCGCTCAGGCGCAGCGGCGCACATTTCCGGGCACGACGCCCACCTACCGAAGGCCACGGCGGGGCAGTCCTCCATGGCCGCGGCCGGCGAGGGCCCGTGCGAGGTCCCCCGAGCGGCGGCACAGGTCGTGCCTGGACGAGCTCTCCCGAGCAGCGCGGGCGGCGGCCGTCTCCAACGACGAGGGCGCAGGGCGCCATTGCTAGAGGTCGGCAGGTACCTTGGTACGGCGTGCGCTGTCCCTTGATTTGAACTCTGTTGTTGGGCATCATTGGTTCAGTAGATCTGGTTCTGTAGTTGTTTGATTGATTGTTCTAGGATTTGATGGTATGCTTGATGTATTTGTGGTTCGAGTCCAGGGAGGATGAAGTCGCTTGCTTTCGCCTCACCTGGACGGGCGTCGTCTCGCCGGAGATTTTGTCTTTTGTGTGTTGGATTTGCGTTGTGTGCTGTCGCTTCTTCGCGGCCGACGACGAGCGACCGGCCGCTGATTGGAGCGGTGTTTGTTACCGAAGCGGGGATGATGTCAGGCGAGGTGGAGGAGGGTGATGTGTGGGATGTCTTGTACGCATGACGAAGGAGATGGGGCGGGGTTGGCAATGGCCATCGCTAGAAGCAAGCCGATGGTTGTCACTCCATCGCTAGGCGCGTGTGTGGATGTGGTGTGCACTTTCAGTTATTGCGTGTGTTCCTGCTGCCAGTTTTAGTTCACTTCTTTTCGAGGTGTCCGGTGGCTCAGCTTCCTTGGGATCTTGCAGCTTGGGGGAAGCAAAGCAAGCAGCCAGGGAGGGAGGGAAGGAGAGAGAGGAACCAGACATTCCAATGTTTGTTTGATTTTTAGCAAGTAATGATGGTATTGACATGATTTTTCAACTTTTGTATTTGGTCCAAAAAGTGAAGTAGGATAGGCTGTTAATTCAGCAACTGTAAATGTGATTCAGCTACTGCAAATGTGATTCCTCAACTGTAAGTGTGTCATTGTCAGTGTTGTGGGAGCTTGATGAGGAAATAGTTATTGCTGCTATGGATATGCAGTGCCCTGTGGATGCGAGCTACTGAGTGGAGGATCGGATGGTGTAGGAGCATATCCAATCTACCACAAGTTCGATTCTCTGCAGCAGCAAATACATGGTGCTTGTGATTTTTTTTCCTTGGTGCTTATAAGGTGCTTGTGATCTTTTTGCCTGTGTGGTGCTTGTATGGTGCTTGTGATCTGCTTGAAATCTCAGTTGTATAGTGTTTATTCATATATCATTCTCTTTTTGACTGAAGGCTGAAATCCAGGTGGGGAGAATCGCCCACTTGGGTTTCATTTCATTGTTGGGCTTAGTTCAGAGAATCACCAACAGCTTTTTGTTCCCAGTTCAGTCTTCATTTGATCGTGCTGCTAATCTTCTGTGTTTTCTTCTGGCCGATCATGCTCTTTTAGCAGCTTGCGCTTGTGTCTGTTTTATCTTGGTCTGTCATTTTTACAAGTTGAGCAATATCAGTAGCAGCAGCCATTGAGCAATACAACCGAACTCTTGCTTTTCAGATTGGCAAAGTGCAGTCAACTTCCAGGTAGCAATTTGCGAATTAAATCTCTGTGCAACGTCTCTTTCTTGCTACATATTCATCTAGTATTTAATTCTTGCAAGCTAGTATCTGTGCTTAGATAGTCTAGTTGCTCAGTTCATTGTGTGTAGTGGTCATCTGGTTTAGTATTGACTGTCTTTCAAATCTTGTGGCTATTCTGGTGCTTTTAGTTTTAGTTTCAGGTAGCACTTTTGGCCTGTCCAGCAGTAGTAGCTTTAGCTTATAGTGTTCTGCTAGTTTTCTGTCTGCAGTTCAGTAGTTTTTCAGATTCCCTGCAGACTCTGCTTTTCGGACAATTCATTTTATTTTGTCTCAATTTAGCTCAGTCAGTCCTTTTTGGTGCCACGGGTTTTTCTATAGGTGAACAATTCTTGATTAGTATGTAGTCTGGCTAGAACAGTACTGCAGCAGTGAGCTAAATTTTTAGACTGTTTTTAGCCATGGTTTTCCTTCTTTTTGCTTCATATTACCTCAGATTGGTGTTTCAGACTGACGTGAATATATATTTTTTGTTAGCTCGTACTAGTGCTATCCCTGTCTGAATATTCATTTTCTGTCAGGTTTTCTTTTTCTTTTTTCTTTTTTTCGTTTGCCATTAGGTGTGCTTGTCAAAGTTTTCTTTGGGCTTTCTTTTTTGTCCTTTTGATGTTTATGACTTATATGAGCACTGTAATGTGCAGATCTGCTTTTTTTCTAGATCCATGCAGTGTGTTGTTGGTCTGTTTTTTGTAGTGTTAGATCTGTTCATTTTCGGCACCTATGTGGTACTAAAATACTGATCGGATGGTTCTGGAGTATAATTTGTCAACTCTTGAGCTAGCTGATTGATGATGAAACAATTACCCCAAGCGCTTTTATTCCACTGATACCAGTGATGGAAAGCTGTATTATCATAGCTTTTGTGGTTTTCAATCTGAAACTGCAGATCAAGAGTTTGTTCTGATTTTTTCTTCGATTTTGTGTTAGATTTTTCTTCTTCCGGCCATGTGAAGATAAAAATCTTAACTAGAAGATGATATTTGGATCTGTTTTTTTAGTTTCTTTTTTGTTTAAGTAATGGGAGAACCGTAGCGTTAGCACGAGCAATAATGTTATATATAAAAAAGTAGACTTTCGATTTCCGCCAACTCATTAGCTTGAATCTAACTAAGTATTGGACTCTTATCTTGTGACAACATTCTGGGCTTGCAGCTCTGTAAATGATGATCTTACTCAGTTACTCGGATTCCCCTTTAGGACATCTAAATGGATGATGCAAATTCGAGTTTCTGATGCGCTAATGCCCAATGATATATAGATTTATTTGTTTCCCTTTCCATTTCTGGGATAAAGTACTGCTCTGAATATTCACAATGCCGTAGTTTCTAAAACTCATCAATTGAAAATCTGTTGTAGGACTGATTTATTTCTATTGTTTGATTGTTTGGGCATTTTAGAATGAGGATGGAACAAAGGTTGAATACAGGGTGTGGAACCCCTTTCCGTGTTTGATTGTTTCTATTGTTTCCGCCTGTCGGTCGCCTCCTCCTCATTTTAGAATGAGGATGGAACAAAGGACTGATTTATTTATATCGTTTGATTGTGTGGAACCTCCATGCGGACCTCAAGGCCACGTAGGTCGCGCTCGCCGCTGGATGCGTCGACCTCACAGACCTCCACACCTGCGTCCGCACCACCAACGACTCTGGCTCCGTGCTTAGATGGTTAGAAGCCCTCCTTGTGAGGGCTCAACACAAACCTAATTGCTGTCTATAGAATCGAATTTGTCTTTATGCTAACATAGTCCAGAGTTTTGTGGTGAACTGATCAGTCTCCCTAACAGTAAAATTTCAAATGGTAGTGAAAATGGCACAGTTAGCATACTTCCAGTCTAGTTCAATTGAGAGGAAGATGGCACTGATTATGGTGGTGAAAACTAAGAGTACAATGTGAAGCTAAACTCTTAATATTATCGTGTAACAGTGTAACTATATTAGCACGCTCTATTTGGTGGCGTTGTCATGGTTCCTTTTATCCAAGTATCATGGATGGGATAGGTAACAAAAATATAGAGTATTCCTCAGAGATACTGTTAATTGTGATTTGTGGCAACACACCTCTTTTTTGTCCTTGTCCTTTCATAGAAAAAAATTGTTTCTTGTGATTTGTGCTAACATGCCTTTTCATCTGTTTATTGTGATTTGTGCCTGCCCACACCAAGTTTTTGTCCTTGTCCTTTCATAGAAAAAAATTGTCTCTTGTGATTTGTGCTAACTCACATTTTCCTTTGTTTATCGTGGTTTGTGCTTGCCCAAGCCAAGTTTTTGCCCTTGTCCTTTCATAGTAAAAAATTGTCTCTTGTGATTTGTGCTATCACTTCATGAACTTTGTTAATTTTGATTTGTGCCAATACACATCTCATTTTTGTCCTTGTCCTCGCACATCAATATAATACAAACCCTAGAAGCATCATTTTTCACCTGTAGCTTCTTTTATTAGGTGGTTTTCTGTCAATGACACTGCTACAGGAGCACTTATGTCTTATGCCAGTTGTACTTTAGTGATACCAAAGAACTATTTCTGATCAGACAACTTAAAGATTCAGTAAACCAAACAATTTAAAGATTCAGTTACATAATTGCAGTTTGCTATAATGTAGGTTGCAAGTATCAGGCACTGCAATTTTAGTTCTAAGCATATGCAATTTTGTGGTTGTGTCCTAGTTTATCATCTATCTTTGTTAATACTGATAAACAAGTCATCCTTGCTGGCTTTACCAGTGTTGTGCATGTCTGCTTCATTTCCCAGTAGCAGTAGGTGCTGATGATGAATGTAGCTTTGGTTTCACTGCCTCACTAGGTTCTCAGGACCACACTGCATCTTTCCTGTGAACCCTATTTGCTTTAGAAAACTCACAATAAGCGAAAGGTATCTATTTGCAGTGCCAAAGGAACAGCAGGATAAGGTTGTCAAATTTGACTTTCACGGGCAGCCAGCAGAAATCAAGCATGGTAGTGTTGTTATAGCAGCAATAACTAGCTGCACAAACACCTCAATTCCTAGTGTTATGCTTGGTGCTGGTCTTGTAGCTAAGAAAGCCTACGAGTTGGGTCTTGAGGTTAGTCCTCTAGTAATGTAATCATGGGCTGTTATGCTGAGTGCCTTTCTATGCTTTCTGCTGATGTGAGATGGCACTTGTTTTTAGGTTAAACCATGGGTGAAGACAAGCCTTGCCACTAGATCAGGAGTTGTCACGAAGTACTTGCTTCAGAGGTATCTTGTCATTGTTTAATAAAGAACAGTGAAACATAAAATTTCATTGTGTATGAGATGGCATGTTTTAATCGAATCTGGTGATTCCTATTTACAGTGGCCTTCAAGAATACTTGAACCAGCAAGGATTTCATACTGTTGGCTATGGTTGTACCACTTGCATTGGAAACTCTGGTGATCTCGATGAATCTGTAATTAATTCCACTAAAAACCAAACAAATGAAATTGCAAGTTAATTAATTGCAATTAGCAATAATGTAAATTGCAAGTGTTGAGCACCGCAATTGTAGTTTTGAGCATATGCAATCTGTGGAAATTTAATTCACCTCATGAGTATACTTGATATATACATTGTTCGAAGCAAATTTGTAATAACTTTCAATGTTTATTTTGAAGAACCAACCCGCAGATCAAAAGAGAAATGGATTAGCTTAGAACTTAGTAGTTCATATATTTAATGCCTCATGGTTTGTTTAAGGAGGGTGAGTAAGGGCATAAGATAGGTTGAATGGCATAGTCATTGGACCCAAGTTTTTGTCCTTGTCCTTTCAAAGAAAAAAATTGTCTCTTGTGTTTTTATGCTAACACATCTTGAACTTTGTTAGTTGTGATTTGTGCCAACACACACCTCTTTTTTGTCCTTGTCCTTCCATAGAAAAAAATTATCTCTTGTGATTTGTGCTAACACATCTTGAAATCTGTTAATTGTGATTTATGTCAACACACACATCTTTTTTATCCTTGTCCTTCCATAGAAAAAAAATTATCTATTGTGATTTGTGCTAACACATCATGAAATCTGTTATTTGTGATTTGTGTCAACACACACCTCTTTTTTATCCTTGTCCTTCCATAAAAAAAATTGTCTCTTGTGATTTGTGCTAACACATCATGAAATCTGTTATTTGTGATTTGTGTCAACACAGACCCCACAAACTCAGCTTCTCCTATCTTCAAATATTCTCTCATGTGTTGGTTAGGCCACTATTGTCCTGGTCCTAGATCGCTGGCATGTTTTATATTCTGTAAGTCTGTATGGTGGGGTAGGTAAGTGGGAGGAAACTGGTAGTATTAGCTACCTCTACTCTTTGTTATTTCAATGACTGGTCCAGTTGCTTGCCTCTAAATCCTAATTGATGCACATTCTTTGCTTAAGCTGTAGTAGCCATCATGCCTAATTGAGCTCGGTCCCTTCACTAACAATGACATTGATGAAGCATTTTTGTTTTACCCTGTACTGCTTGTGTATAGCCTCATCCTCCTATAGTTTTGGATAGCTGGGCTGTCTTGTGGTTGTTGTAGTGGAATAGTAGGAACTCACATCTTTTAATTGTGTGTTGCATATACGCATACACTATACAAGAAAGCTGTGTTTAGTATCCATTTCTTGATTGCACATTTATAAGTAATAAATTGCACACTTAAAATACTGCAATTATGGTGTTTAACATATGTAATATCCAGTCTTTATATATAACTTTGGCACTATTTTGTATGGGAGGCGTGCGTCACAGCTGCTGAAGGAGATTGACTCCTCTGAGGCTGGTCAGCTTGCGCCATTCAACGTAATGCCCGCTTCTCTGTACTCACCTGCAGTTATTAGTTTGGAATCAGAGTGATTGCTGCTTTTTATCTCGTTTGTGTCTGTGGCAGGCCGCAATTTTGTATGATCTAGTATGTTCTGTGTTCGATGGGTGAAATTGCGTTAGAAAACCTTTTGTATCCTCAGTCAAAAGTATTGCTTTGATAGCACCTAAAAAATCATAATTTGTCAAATCAAATATTGTTGGTTTGGCTGACAGATGTGCCTGCAAAGTTATATAAATTTTTTGAGCTACTGAGCCAGTGCCTTTTAGACTCTTCTCCCTTCTAAACATGTTAGTTAGTATGTGCTATCCAAGTTTGGAAGAAACTCGTATTGGACCTGGACAACTGGTTTAATTCTTCATCAGGTTAGACCCTGTCCATACCTATGGATTTACATAAAAAAGAGATCACTACATGTTTCATTATTTCATAATCATATTTTTTAGCATGTGTATTTTGATATGGATGTAAACAATTACGTGTTATGACATCTTCAGAAGCAAACTAAGGGTACTAGCTGCAATATTGTTTACTTGTCATTATATAGTGCAAAAAAGGTTGAAAATATTTATACTACTCTTCCATTATTAGAAGCAATGTGACTTTGACAGCAACAGTTCCTTTTAGTTTCTTTTGTACCTAACATGTAATCTCTGAAAATGTGCAGACTGATGTGTTTGATCAGGTGATTAGAGAGTGCAGTGAGCACAATTCACAATTTCAATCACTGATCAGGTAAATTGTACCCTACATTCCTACTAGAATGTTGACCATCTGGATCCAAGGTTACCCTGATTGATAGACATTTCCAATGCACAGTTTACTGACAAGGCCTGGCTTATGACAGGAAAATGGTGGAGCAAAACTTAGATATTGAGACAACTAGAAATGAGGATCACTATGGTGCAGCTATCCACCATCGTTCCCTGCTCTGTAACAAAAGATGCCTTATGGCTTACATGTACATAACTAAAAGTTCTCAGATGAGCTAACTTTTTGTTTCTCTGTTTTATGCTGATAGCACATGCTTAAATTTGATTTTGCGTGTACTTTAGCTGAATGAATTCTATCCAAACAGGTACAATCGAGCAGAAGTTATTCAGAGTTTTAGATGGAAAGTTGGCCCTGTGCTTCCTCATGACATACAAGAAAAGCTCCATTTCTCAGAGAAAGAGTACTTCAAGAACCACTCTGCAGCCATTAAATCATACATATCGGAGATGGATATAGATTTGACAGTAGTATGGTGTTTTTTCTATTTCTTGTGCTTTACTCGGGATGAGAGATTTATCAGACTTCTAATACCCTTTATTACAGGACAAGGTTCCTCCCAAGGATCCTTACATTCAGGTTCGGGTGCTGGAGGACATTGGTGAAGTATCTCTTGGTGACCATTCTGTATCATTGACCAAGAACTCACTCCATTTCCTAAGGCGCACAGATGCTGAACAATTTATATCACAGGTTTGCTGTCTGTTTCTTTGTGATGTCCTTCTTTCACTATCTCTTTGGTAATAATATGATGCTGAACTTACTATTGGGTCTTATGGAAGAATTTCTGGAGTAGGGATCACATATGAATATATGGTGTACAATAGGTATGAGTCCTTACCTTTTTATCTTACTTGAGATGTACTTTCAGTAGTGCAATAGTTCTGTAATGTTTTATAAGGGCCAAAGCTTACTTGTCTTAGACCAGTAAAGACATGATGGTTGCTGAAATGCTGAATATTCTTCATTCCGTGCATATGGTTAGTTCAGCTGTGACAACTAAATGCATAGATATTTAGTTTAGGGTGTTGATAGCTACCAACTTTAAAGCATTTTGTTATGTACTTGGACCTGCTTCTTAAACTATGCATCTGTGAACTGATTATCTTGCAGGATGTGTGGCGCTTCTTCTCTTCAGTGCTGCTGCCTGATGGAATATCACCCTTGTGATGCTTGAAGAGACTATTTTCAACAATGAAAGGACATGTCATCCTGGGTCTGAAGGGACAAGGTACATGAGACGTGTACCAGGGAGCTTCTAACTAGACATGTTCTGTATCAGGGAGCTTCTTCTAACTAGTCGTGGGTGGCGATTACTTGCTCTAGATAAATGAGTGAAGTTTATAATATCTCTATTAGTGACAAATTTATTCTTCGTGATGTATTACTTTTATAGTAGATCTTACAACTTTGTAAATTGTAAAATCAGTCTTACTAAAATTCATTTCCTCTGTTTACATGTGGATGCCTTTTGATCAGTGTGCCATCTAAGAAAGCAGATGTTGATAACAGTTTTACTTGTGTATTAACATTTAGTTTTGCTCGACTTAGAAACTTATTTTTCCTGTGCACAAGTTTGATTTACTTCTTGCACTCAATGCTGTAAAATCACAGTTCTCTCAGAGTTCAAATTCTAACTTGCTCTTGGCAGAAGCTGGTTCATTCCACCTCTGTATCACATCGTAGTGACCTTTCCATCTTTGCCATGAAGCAAGATTAGTGCACTTCTTGCAGGAAAGTTTCAACAATCATGTGCTAGCTTCTTTTAAAACACATGGTTTTTTGTCTATTGAAATTCGTGTGTTTTTTAGGCAGCTAATAACTATGTGCTAGCTTTGGCTGAAACACATGGTTTTTCCTCTGTTACAAATCGTGTGTTTTGCAGCTAGCAAACAACCATGTGTTACATTTTGCTGAAACACATGGTTGTTGGGTAGACAGACTCTTTTTTTTTAGGAACATTAAAAGTGGCAACTAATAGGTGGTCAAGTGACCTTTTTGCCCTTCCATCAAATCAATCCCTAGGTCTGTCAGAAAGAAACAGAAGACGAAGACGAGTTCAAGGTGGCGATGGCCGATGGCGCAGCTGGTCCCGGATGGCGTCCAGGCGCTACACGAGTGGGTGTATGTGCTGCAGAGTTATTTAGATCTAAAAATGGTAGAATATATCATATTTTATGTTTAAGTGTTTGGTATTGTTTCACTCTACGGTTTTTAACCCAATTCTATAAATTTTTAACCAAACAGCTTCAACTCCACGCTAGCTTGCTCCAGGCGAAAAAATGTGGATTTATGAGAGCACCTAAAGAGGTGGTCCACAAGCTCTAGTTTTTTCGTGGAGCTGTTCCACGGTAGAGCTCATGGAGCAGTTCCAAACAGGCTAGCCCTAGGTCTCTAGAAAAAACTGGTAAAATTCAAACCAAATTTTGCTAATTTTAGGGGTTATCGAAAAAAAATCTAATACCAAAATTGAAAATCCTCACTACGGGGAACGGGAGCTTTGCCGTGTGCCTAGGGCACACGACAAAGCCACTAAAACACTCGGCAAAGGGCACACGGCAAAAATTCTATCGGCAAACTAACTTTGTCGAGTGTTTTTTGTCGTGCACTCGGCGAAGACTTTGCCGAGTGCCAAAAAAAAACACTCGGCAAATAATTTTTTAGAAAAAATAAAAAAAAACCAAGCCAAGCCGCCGTCTTCTCCTACCACTCGCCGCGCCGCCACCACACCGCGCCACCACCACGCCCCACCACGCCGCACCACCACCATGCCCAGGCCGCCACCACGCCGCACCACCACCACGCCGTCTGCCACCACGCCCAGGCCGCCGCCACGCCGTGCGCCACCACGCCGCGCCACCATGCCCAAGCCGCCGGATCTGGAGAGGGAGGGCCGCGAGGGGGGCGGCGCCGCCAGATCCGGGAGAGGGAGGAGGGCCGGGAAAGGCAGGCGCCGGATCTAGTGAGGGGAGGGCGGGGCCGAGCCAGAGAGGGAGGGGAGGGGGGCGTGGCAGAGAGGGAGGAGGGAGGGAGGGGGGCGCCGAAGAGGGAGGGGAGGGGGGCGCTTGCGAGGGAGGAGGGAGGAGGGGAGGGAGGGAGGGGGCGGCCGCGGGAGAAGAAGGGGGAAGGGAGGGACGCGCGCCGCGAATTAAATATGATTTATTTCTTTGCCGGGTGTTCTAGATCTGGGCACTCGGCAAAAAAAATCATTTTTTTCTTCTCCGTCTTTCCCAGAAAAAAGATTTTATTTCTTTACCGAGTGTCCTAGATCTGGGCACTCGGCAAAGTTTTTTTTCTTCTCATTCTTTCTCAGAAAAAAGATTTTATTTCTTTGCCGAGTGCAAAAAAGAAAACACTCAGTAAACCCTCTCTTTGTCGAGTGTTTTTTTTTACACTCGGCAAACCTCTTGTTTGCCGAGTGTTTTTTTTGTCAAGTGTTTTTAGCGCAGCACTCGGCAAAAAAACTTTTTCGTCGAGTATCCGAAAAAATACACTAGACAAACATAAAAACACTTGGCAAATTTGACGTTTCTGGCGGTGCCTGGCTGCACAAGGATCCAGTTTGCGAGACCTTGTGATGCGTATAATCTTATATATGACAGAAAAGAGCTCAACTGAAACGGACTAATAACGGAGCAAATTAATCATCACTTTGGTGTTCTTTCATACCAGCGTGAATCCCTTGACGCCATCCCGCTGGATTGGGACCTCGAGGTTGGGATCGTCAGCAAGCTCCAGCAGCAAGTCCAGCATGTCCATGGCAGCAAACTCCTCACCTTCTCGTCGTCGCCGCCACCGATCGACGTGCTCATCCACCACGTGCTCCAGGAACCGATTAAACATCTTGCCCAGCCGCTTAATCCTCCTGATCCGCGGGTCCAGCCAGCTGAGCCATGGGATCATGTCCCCGATGTTGAGCGCGCCACTGAGGAAGAAGAACTCGTCGACAATCCACTTGAACTCCTCAGGCGTCGTCGCCCACCCCGTCTCGTCGTAGTCGACGACATACTTCTTGCCCAGCACCATGCGTGAGATGGCGTTGAGGTTCACCATGAGGAGATGGTCCAGCAGCACCACCACGCGCCCTGCCGCCGCCACCGCGGACGATGTCCCGCGCACATAGAGGTCGTGCAGCATGGCTTGCAGCTCCTCGTCGCGAACGTGCTCTTGCGACCTGAGCCTCCTAGCGCTGAAGATCTCCGTCTTCCACAGCCTGCGCGCTTGGCGCCAGTACGCGCCGTAGGGTGCCCAGAGCACGTCGGAGTAGTTGTAGCCGGTGTACCTGCCCGACGCCATCCTCGGACGGTCGATGAACGCCAGGTCATGGGTCTTGAGGATGGACCTTGCGGCGTCGACGGAGGAGCCGACGACGACGGGGAAGGAGCCGAACCGGAGAGACATGAGTGGCCCGTACCGTTTGGAGAGCTCATGAACAGAGCGGTGCGGGAGCGTGCCGATCAGGTTGAGGTTGCCAATCACCGGCCATGGCCGAGGGCCTGGTGGGAGATTGAGCTTGCGCTTGTTGGGATTCCAGCGGCCGAGGAGAATGGTTGTGAGAAAGAGTGCAGTGGCGAGCATGACGGGGTAGTAGCTCCATTGGAACGCGCACATAAGAGGGAGGGGACGGCTTTTCTACTAGTTCCTCTCAACTATGAGTTGAAGTGGTTATATAATAAGTTGTTCGCAGTTAAAATTGAGCCTGCGTCGAATACATGCATCATCACCGGACTGTCCAGTGTGTGCAGCTCAGGTCAAGTCCAAACACTATACCATAACCAATCTGTAGCGTCGGACAACGGTTGCTAAAACGTAGTATTAACGTCCCGCTATAAATTTGTAACAATTCATCGGTCACTATTTTTATTTGTTTCGACGGAACATCGGTCGCTACATATATTTAGCCGATTGCGTCAAACCATCGGTCGCTAAAAACATATCGTACAGTCAGACCATCGGTCGGTATAGCCCATTTTCATTTTGGCGCGCTCGGCCCAGCCCACTCGCGCGCACTGAAATTGGCGCGACCCACCAGTCAACGTGTCACCCAAAAGGCCAAAACCCTATCTCCAGCCGCTCCCACCACCCAGCAGCCGCCACTATCACCAGCAGCGTGCCACATCTCGTCTCCACACGCAGCACGGTCGAGCTCGTCACCACCGCCGCGGCCGAGCTCATCTCCACCACCAGCGCGCGAGCTCTCGTGGGGCCTTCCCTGCCGCGGCCACCGTCCTCGCAGTCGCGGCTGCCTACCCCCTTGGGTGCGGCTCCACCGGCCGCTCCCCCAACAGGGTCACGCACGGGCGCCGTTGTAGAGATATCCATAGCAAACTCTAAATCACCGGGGACCCATGACACCTGCAGATCATGGTTGCTAAGTAGCAACCATTTGGAAACCCATAGCCTTGATGTTTCATGGTTTTGCGTCATCATCATCAACATCATTGACAATGTCTGAAACCGACCCCGCCGAAGCTGATCAGCATCTGCTGCTGATGAGCCTCATCTTCATGCTTATCATTTATCTGAGACACACCTTCAGCTGTGAAAGAGATCAGATAACAACCACCCCCACCTGTGGGATCTTGGGTTTTTACCCACGTCACCTAGGAGTTTCATCGGGTGTGTTCAAAACAATTTCCGAACCTATGGTACGTCGAGCTTTGACTTAACAAAATATGCAGAGTAAGTATGCTTTCATATCTTTCCCTACCCAGAGCGCTGCCTCATGATCTTCGGGGCTCCTAGGCGTATGAATCCCGCCGTACACTAACGTGCAGTACTCGCCGATACAAACTCGCGAGCGAAAGAACCACCTAAAACAGAGCTAAGTTTGCAAGATATAAGCTTTTGAAGTCAGTGGCATACTCCAGCAATAGCCCCTAAAACAGGGCCTTTACTTTTCATTTGGGTGCTCCCCCTACTTTTTAGGGCCCTGTTTTGTGGTCTCAACTCCAATAGCAGCCCTCAAAATAGAGCCCTCAAATCCATTTTCTCAGTGGATGACAAATGGGACCCACTCGTCATAGACTTACTCGGCCAATAGAAAGAAACCTCTGCCGCCAGTGGAGAAGCGGACGAGCGCGATGGCCGCGAGGAGTCCCGCGAGTGCGGCTGCGCGATGAGTAGCGGGGACTGACCTGGCCGCGCCCTCTACCTTGCTGCCGGCCACGAGCGCGACGAGAGGAGCTGGCCACGACCTCTACCTCGCCGCTGGATGCCGAATCGAGTGGGTGGAGTCGCGCGGGGGAGGATAGAGGGAGCCAGCCGGGGAGGAGAGAGGGAGCCGGCCATGGCTGCTGGCTCCCCACGCGTCGGAGTAGTGGCCCGCGCGGCATCCAGCGCGCCCGCGCGGCGGAGGAACGGCTGGCACGGCGGGGCAGCGGGACACAGCACGCGCAGCGGAGCTCTGGCCGGCACAGTGGGGCAGCATGCGCAGCGGAGCAACGGCCGGCACGTCGGAGGGCGAGTGCGAGCGAGGGGAGGAGGATGGAGCAATGGCAAGCGGCCTCGACACGGTGGAGGGAGGCCGCGCCGTACGTGCGCGGGGAGGAAACTGGCGCTAGAGATGATGGGGGCCGGGGTGTTGGGCCAACAGGATGGGGTCTGGAAGGTGAATATGGATGCCCAACTAAATTTCGGGGCCTGAGTAGGTCCCTGCTGGAGCACGACTTTTGGCCTATGCCTCTATATTTAGGTATGGGGGCTAGTAGGGGGGTGTTGAAGTTGCTCTTGCAAACGTCCTTTCTGTCCTCTGATCCTCGAAGAGTCATAGATAGGCTTATCTCGTTAACTGCACGCCACCAGGTTCTTGCAGCCAGGCCATGGTCAACATCAAGAGCATATATAATGAAAAATCTATACCAAATATTAAATAGTAAAAATTACTTCCTCTAAATTTTGGCCCATCAAAGTACTCTTCTTGTTCGTGACTCTCCATAGTATAGGAGTCCTAGACAGTTTTACTAATTGTACATCGTAAATTAGAGATTAGAATTCTAATTGGTTTATTGGCTCGTCTGTGATCCGAACTCACTCCCCATGCTCCTAAGAGTTAGAATAGCACACACACAACCATGACACAAAACCTAGTTCCAAACGTATTAGAAAACATGACGTAAGATGTAAATTTTGTTGTAATGCACGGATATGTTGGTTAGTAATAAAATGAAAGGATCTGACAATCCTTAGTAGATTTGGCTATAGGTTGCAACCTTAGTGCAAACGAGAAAGCAAACGAATCTCACTATTCAAAGTTAGCAGAAACACAGAAATGTCCATAACCAAGGATACAGCTATACATATAGATCTTAACTGTGCAGAGTGTCTACACATGTACACGTAAGATCACCATCATCGACGGTGCCCCGCCTAAGCTGACACCAGGTAGTAAACTAATTGATAAAATACCACCTTACCCTCAGCCCTAATACACCCAGAAGTACCGTCGACATGCTTTAGGTTTAAAAATCAATTTGCATAGGAGCAGAGTGTACTGCTTTGTTGTTGCTAAGGGAGCTGCAGTACAATATGCTCAACTTTTCGGGTGTAAAACTAGTGAAGTCCCTATGTCTTATTTAGCTATTCCTATACACTTCAGGTAGTTGAGGAAGAAAGTTGGAAGAACATTTTCAGATAAAATTAAGCAGGTGGAATGGTAAACATCTGTCAACAGAGGATGTCTAACATTGATAAATTTAGTGGTTAACAGCCAACCAATATAGATGATGTCTTTCTTTGCCATTAAAAGAGGGGTCCTTAAGAAATCAGACTATTTTCTCTCCATATTATTATTGCCAGAGTGATGACCAGAAGTGGAAGTATCGCCTCGCCATATCGAGTATCATATGCATACAAAATGTCATGAAGGTTAGGAATTTATGACCCAGACCATAAAAACACTACACTTCTCAGCAAATGGTTATTCAAGTTAGTCATCTTCGATGGCACTCGGAAACAAATCATCCATAATAAATATCTTGGAACCAAAACTTTACCTCAGGCATATTGGAAAAGTGGGGAGTATCATTTCTGGGCTAGTCTCATGAAGGTGAAACGTGATTTTCTCTGTTTCGGGTTCTTCTCTATTACAAATGGTTCACATGTGAGACTTTTAGAAGATAAGTGGATGGGTGATGCAACATTAAGGGAGCAGTTCCCGTGCCTTTACGAATGAGATGCTTAAATTACACTCTAGAGGGCACAATACCAGCACAAGCTGCCGCATAAGCATCTGCAAGGCCAGGAACAGAGTCCATGTGACAGTCGATGAACTTCGATTTGAAAGCCTCCTCTCCAATTGCAGCTAATGAGGAAAAGCTCATATTGCTATTCATCAATCCCTTTTCCTGCAGGACCTTCATGACATAATGCCGGGGCACTAACCGCTTCTCAAGGCTCATTGCGAACAGGACAGACCTTTCAACAATGTACCATGGCTCCATCGCAGCCTCATTGACTAGGAACTCAATCTTGCGGAGAAGAATTTCGTCAGACAATCCTAATATAGCTGGCATCTTGGACAGTGGCAATGGAAACCTTAGACTCGGAACAACCAAGAGTCCTCTTAAAGAACTCAAGCTTGGCAGCAACCTTCTCTTTGGAAGTACAGGCAACGCTTGCTTGAACATCCGCGAAGTCGCAGGCACCCCAAGTTATTCCGCCCGTATCAAAAGCTCTTTCACGCGTTCCGGATTGTTGTAGGTAAGCAATCACAGGATCTTTGAACACAGCTGGGCTGCCTGGGCAATATCTGGAACACCCCACTTAAGCAACAAAGCGATGTTAAGCTGGATTAACCTCTCAAGGCTCGTGCTGAAGAGGTACCTATTTCTCTTTAAGACCACCAGGAACTGCTCAAACGAGCCGTAGAAGGAGATGAAGAACTCGAGCCTTGGAACGACGTCGCGGCGTCGGAGAATGTAACACCCTCGGTGTTACGCCCTAAACAAATCACTAAATCATGTCATGAGCATCATGTTTATGTGACATTGCATGTGATAAAGAGTGTAAATGAATTGCTTGTAACCTAAAATGGTTGATAAAAGTGTTAAATGAAAGTTGATCCAATAGTTCATGTTGTATCAAGTGAGGTTCAAAACCGATTTTTATTGGGCAAAAACATTATAAAACATACTTGTGTCACTTAAATAAAGTTTAAAGTACAAACTTTGTAGATAACAATGCAACTCTTGTTGTAGAAAAATAAAATTGCTGGCTAGTATTTTTAGTAGCTTGGAAATTGAAGTTGAAATAAAAATCCACCCTAGATTTAGCAAATTTCCAAAGTCTAAGAACAGAATAGCAGTGCCATGTTGGGGAATTAATTCTGAAAAATATAGCTAAAGGCCAGTGCTATGTTATTGCTCATAATGGTAGTCCAATGTACCCTCTTTGGTATGGTCTAGGTGGTTGTGACTCAATCGAGTTGGTTTAGTCGTGGTTGATGCTTTAAAATTCGTGCACATGAACGGCCTTGGGCTATCTAGCCGGGGGTTGCGATCACCGCCTTTCCCGTGGCTCAGCATAGGGCGTGTTGCCGAGGCCATGTCGGCCGGGCCTGCTCCAGGCTTGGCCATGGCTGGGCGTGGCCGGCCACAGTTGGCCGCCTGCCCTTGCCATGCGGTGTTGCTGCCACCGTGGGCCCTGCGCCCTAGCCACCGCTGCTCCGCTGTCCCTGCCGCTTTGCTGAGATGCCACTGCTGCTGGTACTGCGCCGTGTTGTTGCTCGTCTCCTCGCTGTGCGCATGAGGGCTTGCCCCCTCCTCTACTGCCCGCACCGTCGCCTTGCCATTTATGGCGCTGCAGCCACGCAGGCAGTGCTCGATTGAAGACGTGTGTGTGTTGTCCGTAGCGTCAGTGCGCATGTTGCCCTAGTCGCATCAGCCGCGTCCCGCCAAGACGAGGTCGCGTCGAGCTCCAGTTTCCCCCTCTTCTCTCTCCCACCATGGCCGACTGAGCCGCGAAAGTAAATACGGCAGGGAGAGGTCACCTCGGGTCATTTCGTTGCATCTCTAGCGCCGCCATCAAGCCACCTAGCTGACCGTTTCCACCCCGCCTTGAATGGTGCCCGGTCGAGCTTCAATTTTAGGGCTTTTCCCCGCCACCGTGTCGATAAGGCCAAGTCCGCCCATCACCGAGGGCAGCTCCCATCAGACCACCTTGAGCCAAATTGGCTGCACCGCTAGACTCACCTCGAACCCCTCCTCGTCATGTGCACCTGAGCCGTACCCCTACCGTTGTCCCAATGCTGTTGACGCGGTCATGTCCGCCGTGGCTCGTCGCCGAGCTCGCCACATGTACGCGACCAGCCTTGCTCGGGGAGTCTCCGGCAGAACCAGCGCCTCGGCTAGGTCCTTGGTGAGTCGCTGATGCTCACCCGCTACCTCTACTGCTCCCTTAGCGCCGTGGCTCACCGAAACATTGTCGTCGCCGCCGTTGGTTGCCTGCCAACGTGGAGAAGTCACCCTACTTCGTCTCCGGCCTTCTAACCGCTGCCCAGCATTGTGTGTCAGTCCATAGGTGAGCATCAACCCTCCAGCTAGGTCTGCGTGGGTCCCAGCTGACCTCCCCAATGCGAAAATGAGTCTTTTCGGGGGCCTTCGTGCATTATTGCTGACTAAAGGAATAGGGCGCTTAGTGGTCACGTTAATAGCAGGAAGCGTGGGGACTTTTTTGCTAAAACACCAGCGCGCGAGGTTCCCCGCCATGGGCCGCTTCCGCGCATGGGCCGCGCTGGGCCAGTTCGGTTTCTCTTTTTCGTAAAGAATTAGAAATAGCTTTCTATTTTTATTCGAGAGCCAGTTTTGTTTAATTAATGTAAAATCTTGTAGATGCCCAAAAATTGTAAAACAAATTTTGTTAGGTTCCTAAAATTGTGATTTATCTATTGGTGTAATTAATGTATACATATACATGTTGATACTAGGGGCTATTAAATCATTTGAGAGTGCTTAATATTATTAGGTTAAATATTGTAGAAATTTTTGTGGTAAATTGGTGATAGCTTTAGTCCTAAAATTTTTATGGTAGCTTCATTGTATTATTATGTGCTCAATGTAATTTTTGTAGCCTTAGAAAAGACTAAGCATTAGGGTAGTTAAATGCTCTTTGTTTCAATATATATTAAATTACTAGTAGAAATAAAGATATATCTTTAATTTGCCAAGCTAAGGGTTTGTTAGTTGAACCCAACACTTCGCTTGATGAAGATGATAGTTAGCTTAGTATCTTAGTCATTAGAGCTAGCTTAGTAGCTTGGTGTGCGTATTCTTATTTTAAGAGTTGTTGTTGCCTAAATGCTAAATGGTTGCATCATCATCGCATGCATGTAGAGAACAAGTTGGTGGAGATTGTGACCACCGGTGAGCATGAGTTCGAGGAGATCGTCGAGGAGTACGAGGAGGAGATTCTCGTGCAGGAGGAGGCCCTAGAGCCGCCACCGACTAACTCAGTTGACATCGCACCTGCCCAAGGCAAGCCCTGGTGCATAACCCCTTATTTTTTATAATCACTGTATATATATGTTACGAGCATTTACATTACAGGAATCTTATAAAAACCACCTGCATAGATATAATTGTCCTATGAGTCCTACTAGTACAGGTTCGAGTAGCTGCTATACTTAGGATTTCGGTAGCGTGAGTAACCTGTCGTTACTCATAATAGGTGATTATTATTACTTTCATAATAGAAATGATGAAAGGAAAATGGAGACGGGGCAGGGATATGGTATGGGTATTGGTGGGTGTAACGAGATGTGTCTCGTGGCCACGGGGCTTAGCTTGGTTGCACTGTTTTCTCTGTCCATGTCGATTGAGGACCATCCATTATTGTGGATAGTAATCAGGTCACAAACTTATTATCATGAGCACATACTTGCTTATGGGAGCGAGAAGGCTCATTATGCTCTTTGTCGTGGGCTTCGGCTCTTTCTGGACCGACTGATTGGAGGAGGGGAAAGATGGAGGTCTAAGCACCATATTGAGACCGAGTCTCAAGTGTGGGGGCTTGGAGTCCAAGTTTGGACGGGGACCTGGACCCCGTGATAGGAGTGGAATGGTTGGTCTTGTTTGTGCCTGGGGTACAAACGGGGTGTGTGTTTCGGGGTACCCAGCTAGGATATATTGGTTCGCAAATTGCCGTTTCCGTGAGATGGTATGACTTGGCTATGGTCTAGCATCGTAGTAAGAACTAGAAGATGAATGATGGTGAAATGGTTCTAATTACTCAACCCTTGCTTGAAAGTAGAACAGGTGCTTACCTAGAATGGTTAGCTAATGAAGTAATCATGACTGCTAATAAAACTTGACTATAAGGATGAACTATTAGTAATGCTTTCCGCAAACAAAAAGAAAACAACAAACCTTACTGCCTATCATACCCTTGTAGTCGGGAAACTATTCCCACTAGTCGGGTAAGTCTTGCGAGTACATTGTGTACTCAGGGTTTATTTACCCCTGTTGCAGGTGCAGCTTGAGGAGTAGCTCTTGTGTGGAGGATTCTTCTGGTGGGCACAGATGGATCCTTGTATCGTTTCCGTTAGACGTTTATTTCAATTCCGTTGTTTAATTATCGCACTCTGAACTCTGGTATTGTAATAAATAATTTCTAAGAACTCTTGTTGTATGAAATGGACTAAGTATTATAAACTTGTACTCATTATTGGATTTTGGATGTAAAATGTGGATTGTTTTGAGTTCTCTCTTGGGGTGTGCTCGATGGAACTGTCCGATGTAGCTAACTTTTGGAGTGCTTAGTGTCTAGTGGAAGACGAGCACCTCCAAAAGCGTGTTATTTTGGACGGTTCTGCCACAGGTGGTATCAGAGCCAATAATGAGTCTACGAGTTTTAAAACTCTTTTCAAAACCTAAAATTTAACCAACAAAAGCTTTGTGAAAAATAAGATGCGATAAATTTACGTAAGTAAGTATAAGCCCTAGCAATATGGTCTATCTAGGATAGTGTCACTGGTTTTATCTAATCAATTTATGTAGGTACACTAACTTAAGTTGCGTAAGAATCGTTTAGCGTACGGGAAGTGAGTATGCGCTGTGCCAAAAATTATATGCGAATGCCGCTATATTTCGGCTTGAGCGAACGAATAGGTCGATGCATGCATCATAAAAAGCGAATATTGTTTAAACTAAACTCCCCCACACGTATAATTTTGGGTAGTAAATTGATAGGATAATAAATAAAGAGAAATGCTTTAACACTTAAGGAAGGCCACTATGCTCGTGAGTGCCCCTAGAACCAGCTTACTCAGTCTTCTCAGCCTTCAGCCAACTCTCGTTTGGTCAAGAGGACTATCATCAGGAAGAAGGTGCCCGTGAGCCGCTCGGGACATGTTCACTTCACTGAGGCTGAGGAGATCCCACAGGGAGAGCCTGTGATGGCTGGTATGTTCACCATTGATTCCCACCCAGCATATGTATTTTTTAATTCTGGTGCATCACATTCATTCATGAGTATGGGGTTTGCACAATGGCACAATATATCTACTATGGCTATTCGT